ATATATATATATATATTAAAATGAACTGTGCAAAGACCTGGAGTTAGAAAACCAAAAGTGAAGGACATGTTCAGCATTTCTCAAGCTGAGGGAACTGAAAAAAATAAATAAAACTTAAAACCCCGACTTGCAATGCTGAATGTTACTATGGGCAAAATACTGAGTGATACAGAAAGAATCAAAAGAAGATGGAAGGAACACAGAGTCATTGCATCAAAAATAAATGGTCGATGTTCAACCATTTCAAAAGCTAATGGTACTGAAGAAGTCCAATGGTACTGACAAAGTCCAATGGTACTGACAAAGTCCAAGGTACACTGAAGGCATTGGTAAAAAACAAAGCTGTGGGAATTGATGGAATACAAATTGAAATCTTTCAACAAACTGATGCAGCACTGGAGGCACTCATTCATCTATGCCAAGAAAATGGAAGACAGCTACTTGGCCAATTGACTGAAAGTGAGGGGACCCAATGCAATGCAGAAATCATCAGACAAGACTCCAAAGAGAGGGGACCCAATGGAATACAGAAATCACCGGACAACATCACTGATATCACATACAAGTAAAATTTTGCTAAAGATAGTTCAAAAATGGCTGCAACAGTACATTGTCAGGGAACTGCTAGAGGTTCCAGCCAGATTCAGATGAGAATTCATTGTCGAATACCAGAAAGATGTTCACCTGTGGCATGGGATTAGAGGAAGACTCACTAACAATACAACTTTGCTTACTGGAAGAGACGAGGACTTTAAATACTGATGAAGATCAAAGACCAAAGCTTTCCATATGGATTGCACCTCAATGTTGAAAACACAAAATCCTCACCACTGGACCAATAAACAACACCATGATAAGTAGAGAAAAGTTCAAAGCTGTCAGAGACTTCATTTTGCTGGAATCCACAATCAACACTCTTGGAAACAGCAGTCAAGAAATCAAACAACGTATTTATTGCATTAGTCAAATCTGTACATGACCTCTTTAAAGTGTTCAACAGCAAAGATACCAGTTTGAGGACTAAGGAGCAACTGACTCAACTCATGGTATTTTCAATAGCCTCATAATCATGTGAAAGTTGAGCAATGAATAAGGAAGACTGTAGAAGAATTGATGCATTTGAGTTATGGTGTTGGAAAAGAATATTAAAAGTACCATAGACAAACAAATCTGTTTTGGAAGTACAGCCAGAATGCTCCTTACATGGTGGGACTTTCTCTTTTAATACTTCAGACATGCTATTAGGATGGACCAGTCCTTGGAGAAAGACATTATGATTGGTAAAGTAGAGGGACAGCAAAAAAGAGTAAGACTCCTAATAAGATGAATTGACACAGTAGCAGCAACAAAGGGCACAAACGTGGCAACAATTTTGAGGATGCCAGAGGCCCCAGTAGTGTTTCTTTGTGCACAGGGTTGCTAGAAGTCAGAACCTACTCAAAGGCACCTAACAACAGATCCAAATGTCTAAATGTCTAAATAGGTGAGACAACACTGGTGACCACCCTGCTCTACTTGTGAGTGGAAGTGGGGAAAATACAAGAATGAAGACTGAGTTTGATCATGGTCCACAAGCACCCATTAACCTTGAGATGAGAGAGAGAGACAGAGAGAGAGAGAAGAGGAGTAGCTGGCTAGTCTGAAGTTTAGGGAGGATGTTCATGGACACTGACCTAGCCTGGAGGCTAGAGCTGAGAGTAAGGAAGGCCAGCTGGCCTGAAGTGAGGGAGGCGTGCAAGAACTCCCAAACTTGCAGAGAGTCCCCATTTGACAAGCTTGGATGGCTAGGTAACCAGAACTCCATCAGATGAAGATAAAGAAGTTTGATACAGGGACCAAGCATAAATTGTTAAAGTTTGATCAACTAGAACTACAATTTGAGCAACTGGATGTAGTTGCTCATGGTCTGAGAACGGCTGTGTGCCCGCGGATAGGTGGCTGGCTTGCAAAGTCTGCCCTTTGTACATTTAAATGAATACGTATTTTTCTGTTTTGTATGTGCACATCAAAAAAAGAGAATAGAGGTAAATACTGTTGACATGAAGGGATTGTCATCATTGCAATAAAACAAATTATGATTTATTGAATGTAATCTGTCCTGTACATTTTCACTCAATTCACAATAAAAAATTTTAAAAAATAAAATAGGCAGAGACAAGAGAAGTGAAGTAGAAACAATAAGGGAATGGCTGGCTCACCTGGAGGCAAGAAGAGCGTGGCGCGCACCCGACCCGCGCGCACCGGCTCCCTCCGCACCCCAGGCCTCATGAAGGCGCGCTGGAGCACGGTGCGGCCCAGGATCTGCTGTGGCTCTGACTCGTGGCCCTCGAGCACCTCCAGCTCCAACAAGAAGGGCGTCTGCACGTCTCTCTTCACCAGCCGCAGCAACGGCTTCTCGGGCTCCAGGGCCCAAAAGAGGCCCATGGGCTCAAGCCCCACAAAGCTGCCGCCCAGCGAGGGTGCGCGCTCCAGGTCCAGCTCGCCGCCGCCGTCCGCGCAGTAACGCGCGTGGGCCCGGAAGAGCGCGCCCTTCTCGTCCTGCAGAGACGCGCGCAGTGTGACCTGCTGTGCCGGGGCCAGGCCTCGCACCACGATGCTCACAGGCTCGTCCCAGCAGCAGTGGCTCGCGGGCTCCGGGATCACAGTCGCAGCCATTCTGACAGGGATACAAAAGACGGAGCCACCAAATCTCAGTTGTGGAGGTCTTGGCAGCCGCACACAACTCTTCGGTCTCCACCCGCAGATCCAGGTCGCTCTCAGGGCGGCATTCACTGATGTTATCATTTTTTCGTCTGGAATTCAGACCTGCTCTGCAGAGAAAGAAGTGGTTAAGGATCCGCCCTAGTTTCTGGTTTCGGTCCTGGCGGCAGACTTCCTAACTTGCAGGCTAAGCGCCAGGAACTCAAAGCCGGCTCAACTGAGCTTTGAAGGCAGTATTTCTGTCAGTCTCGGGCTACGTTTGAAAGCCGAAAGTACCAGAGAAACCAGACAGCCCTGTACTCGCTTAAAACTTCCTGTGTTGAAAATGTTCACTTCCGAATTTACAATTCTGCCTCTCAGTACTTATGGGACGGACTAGTGTTGTCTCTGGAGGAACCCAGAGCCTAGCAAAGACTCCAGCTGCCAAAGTTCTGTGGACCTTGAGGAACACAGGGTATAATTGGCTTTTATCATTCTGTTGTGTAATTCACACCTATTAATCATAGGCCTTTTCATAGCCACAGGTATAGCTCTGTAAGAGCAGCACTGGGTTGTGAACCACAAGATCGACAGTTCACGCCTACCAGCTATTTCTTGGAAACCCTGTATAGGGTTGCTAGGAGTCAGAATTGACTTGCCTGCACTTCACTACACTACACTAGCCCCACATCTAAAGGTACTGATGTCTTACTAGTTGTGTGACCTCTGAGCTTCATTCCTTTCAAGCATAAAAATAGCCAGGATGAGGCAATGCAGCTATTACGTTGTTAGACTGGACTCTCATTTTGGCCTATTTTGAGGCATTTCAATTAGTGGTGTTGGAGAAGAATATTAAAAATACCATGAACTCATATTCGTGGCCCAATTTTCAGCCAAGAAGTAGATAGATAAGTATATGGTGTGGTTATGTGGCCTGGAGTCAGTCTGACACATAGTGACCCTGTATAGGGTTTCCAAGGCTGTACATCTTTACAGGAGCAGAAAGTTTAATCTTTTTCCTGCAGAGCAGCTAATAGATTCAAACTGCTGACCTTGAGGTTAGTAAGCCCACTTATAATCCACTAGCTACCATGCTTCAATAATAGGTATATAGTGGGGACAACATTACTAAGGTATACTCACCATGGAATGGTCAACCATTCAAAATCAAAAGGGCAACTTTTACCTAAGGACAAACTTGAGAAAGGATGAGAAAGATAATGGATTGGAAATAGGAAAGGAGGAAGTGGAATAGCTGTTGCTACATGGAGGGGACTACAGTTATTAAGATAAAACAAAGTGCATGATTTGTTGAATGTAAAACTGATGATCTTCTCTGTAAAATTCACTCCATTCACAATGGAAAGTTTCAAAAGAAAAAAAAAAAGTACCATGATCTGCCAGAAGAACAAACAAATTCTGTGTTGAAAGAAGTACCGCCAGAATGTTCCTTATAATCTTCATCTCTCATACTTGGGACATGTTGTCATGAGCGACCAGTCCCTGGAGAAAGACATCATGCTTGGTAAAGTGAAAGGTCAGAGAAAAAGAGGAAGACCCCCAATGAGATGGATTGGCACAGTGGCAGCGCGATGGGCTTAAAAACAACAACAATTATGAGGATGGCTTAGAACTGCAGTGTTTCTTTCTGTGGTGTAGGGTTGCTATGAGTCGGAACTGACTGAACAGCACCTAACAACAACAACAGGCACATACTGGAGTCCTGGGGGGTTGCTGTAGAATTAGAATGTAAGGTTAGCACTTCAAACCCATCAAGTACTTACTCCTCAGGGTCGCTATGAGTCACGACCAACTGGGCAGGACTTATGATCTACTTGTTATCCCAGACTTAGGAGTCCTGGTGTAGTGCTGCAGGATAATGTGCTGGACTGAAAGGTCAGTTTGAATCACAAGGTCAACGGTTCCAACCCACCAGCTGATCCTTGAAAACCCTATACAGAGTCTCTATGGGTTGGAACTGACTTGATGGCACTTAACAGCATCCTGGACTTGCCCCTTTTTCCACTTTTTCATAAACGATTCTTTCCAGACAGTGGTGGATTTTTTCATAATTAACCTTCAGGTCCCTTCCAAGCCCTTGTCTCTGGCTTTATAGTCATATCTTTGAATCCCTTTTTTTTTTTTTTAGGAAAACTCATAAATTCAGGTTCCACAAGGCCCATGTTTTGTTTATTTGTAAATTAACTCATGTTTAAGAGCTTTGCCAAGGGAACCCTGGTGGCACAGGGGTTAAGCAATTGGCTGCTAGCCATAAGGGTTCAAACCCACCAGCTGCTCCTCGGGAGAAAGATGTACCAGAAGACTACAACCTTGGAATCCTAAAGATTACCCTATGGGTCAGCTCTGTTCTGGTTTCAGGGGCACTGGGTTTAGGGTTTTTGGTTAAGAGTTTTTGAACCGGTTCCCAATGCTCCTATTCTCTGACAGTCTCTTGTTGCTCTATTTACTTTTGTTCTGCTTTTGAGGCATACGTTGCAGAAATTTTGTATATAAGAGTTTCGGGAATTAAAGAAGGTAAATAATAACAGTTTTTGTTGTTGTTGTTGTTGTTTTACAATCATCACAACTATTTCTAAAACTTTTCCAACACCCAAAATAGAAACTCTATACCCCATTAAGTGACAGCTTCCTGGTTCCCTGGTAACCAGTACTTCTATCTCTATGCATTCATTTATTCTAGATAACGCTTACAAGTGGAAACATCCAATATTTGCCTTATTGCACTTACCACATTTTCAAGGCTCATTCATGTTGTAGCATGCATCAGAACGTCATTTCTCTATGTGACTGAGCAATATTTCTTTGTATGCATATATACCACATTTTGTTTATTCATTCCTATGTTGATGGACTCATTCATTCCTATGTTGATGCACTTGTAGGTTGCTAGCACCTCTGGCTACTATGATTAATGCTGCAATGAACATTGGCATACCTGTTTGAGTTCCTGCTTTCAGTCTTTTGGAATCTATACCTAAGAATAGACTTGCTGAATCATATGGTAATTCTATGCTTAACTTTTCAAGGGATTGCCAAATAGTTTTCCACAGTGTCGGCACCATTTTACATTCAATGTATGAGGGTTCCCATTTCTCCACATCCTCAACAACACTTGTTTTCCATTTTGTAGAGAATATTTAACTCGATTCTTTCAAGAACTCTATGAACAAATGAACGCCCAGAGAATTTTAACTTATTTGTTGAAGATCATACTTTTGCAATCTGAGTTAAGAACCTGTGTTATGCTTTAACATGATGTCCCATGTTAAAGAAGATTTAACATATTAAACATTCACTCACAAACAGTAGATGTGTAAACTGGTATGATTGAGTGATCTCTTCAGAGAGCAATCTAAACAAAAATATTTAAAAGATGCATTCTCTTACAACTTCTAGGAATTTCTTCTAAATCAATATTCATAAAAGTGTATATTTGGCCATAAGGATGTTTATATAGTTTTAATAAAGGAAAAATTTGAAAGTAGCAATACAAATTTGGTGAAATTATGATACAATAATATACTGGAGGATAATGTAGCCATTAAAATGATATAGCAAAAGAATATATGATGAGGAAATTTCATAAAACTGGGAAAAGCATGTTTTGGACTATTATATATGATTTTTTAAAAGATATTAATTCAGTAAGAAAAAAAGATTTAAAAAAAAGACTACTTAATAAAACTACCCCAAACTGGTGTTTGTTAGGCCTTTGGGTATTGTTGCTGTTGTTAAATACTATATGGTCAGGTCCAACTCATAGTGACCCTGTATGGGGTTTCCAAGGAGCAGCTGGTGGGTCTGAACAACCGACCTTTTGGGTAGCAGTTCAGTGCATATCCTATAGTACCAAACCTTGTGATATTATGTTGTTGTTGTTAAGTGCCATTGAGTTGGTTCTGACTCGCAGTGACCCTGTATAGGGTTTCCAAGGAGCAGCTGGTGAGCTTGAACCACTAACCTTGAGGTTCAAATCGATCTTGCAGTTCAGCACATTAAAACCAGGACTCCTGAGATATATTATAGGCAGTTTTAATTTTCTTGTTTGTCTAGAATTTCTATCAGAAAATCTGCCTGGTTTTAGCACTTAAGTTTTTTAAAAGTCTTTCAATACTTTCACCCCATAGAACAAACCCTCCCACCCTTTTGTCCAAGAGGACAGCTTCAGCCCAGGCTCTAAAGGCAATGCTAAGGTTCATCTGTAAGGCCAGCCTTGCCTGGAAATTATACAGAGATCACCTGAAGAGCACGACCCTAATGCTCACTAATGCCTAGGATGGGGTCCTGGTGTGGCACTGCATTGGACCGCAAGTTCAGCTTGAACTGAAAGGTAGATGGCTCAAACCCACCAGCTGCTCTTTGGTAACCCTAGACAGGGTCTTTATGAGTAGGAACCAACTCAACACCACTTAACAACAATGCAAATGATATAGATGTTTATGTGCATTCCAATTTCGACAACTTCCAATTTTCCTGGATTCATACTTTGTACATTCCATGTTCCAATTATTAATCTATGTTTACAGTCGTTTATCCTCATTTTGAGTTGTGCCCCATCAGCTAATGGAAGTCCCAAAAGTGTTACTACATTCTTGTCATCGCAGACTAGTCTACTTTGAGGAGGCAGGTCTTTCCTAGTTGTATTTTGAGTGTCTTCCAACCTCATCTTCTGGCACTGTATCTGACAGTATTCTGGTGTTCTTCATTATGTCTCAATATTCACTATTCTGGTGCTATATGACAGTGCCCCACTGCTACTCATAAGGTTTTCAGTGGCTAGAAACACTCAGAAGTAGTCTGCCTCTTCTTCTTCCTAGTCTGGCTTAGTCTAGAAGCTCAGCTGAAACCTGTGTACCATGGATGACCTGCTGGTATTTAAAATACTGAATCATTCAAACACTCATGGCATGATTTGCAGCATCACGGCAATATGCAAGCCACAACAGTATGACAAACTGACA